TGGAGCTATTCTTAATAAGCTGCTATATTTCTGGTAACAGTGGTACTCACTGGCAGGCCCTCAGCTGCCAGTCATGGCTGTTAGCTGGCACAGGGTTCTTCTCAGACTGAACAGGTAACCAAAACAGTACCAGACAGGTTAGCAAAGGCAAAATCAACTTCATAACGTGGTTTCATGGTTATATATTCTATAGTAAAATGGAATGCACTAGGGATATTTATCATGTGTTTAAGGATTTAGATTATCAAGGAAGGAAGAGGTAGAGATTTCACATGACAGATGAGTTTCTCATACAGGGAGGGCATGTTCACTGATGAAACTATATACTTTGATGATACCCCCCCCAGTACATTCTTCTAGGTCATAAAAAAGGGAGCAGTGATTGTTTCATCCATTAGGAAGAGGGCAAACAACCAAGACAAAGACAAAGTCTCTCTTAGACTCTAGAGCCATCACAGCTCTTAACTTAATCTATATTCTTTAAGTAATGTAATAGATTTCCTGTAATAGATTTCATGGGGCCTTTATTAACCTTTAGTTTCCTGTACCAAGGTGACATGCATAGGAGGAGGCCACACTAGGCATATGTATCTGACACTGTGGGGGAGACTAAGGACTACAGGATCACAGGCAGAGGCTACTATCTGCAGCATTCATTATTTCTTATTTTTAATTTTATTTATTTATGTATACAAGAACTGGGGTACAGGCCGGAGGTAGGGGGAGTGGGAGGATTCACATGAGACAGAGCGGGGAGCAGAACAGGCAAATCTACTGAAATACACTGCTGAGGGGAGCAGAGGGTGAGACAGGAGAGGTCTGCTGTGCCATGTGGGTCAGCTCCCTGGCTGGGGATCAAATTCATGCTGCAGTGGCTGCAGATAGCTTCATAGTGCTGCGTTTTAACCCTTTGTGCCACCAGCAAGGCCCCCTATCTGAAGCATTCTAATGAGGTTGCTTCTCCTTTTACTTTGTGGTCTCTACTCAATGACTTTCATTGGGAGGGCACCAGGGAGACAGTACAAAGAGGGTATGGGAAGTGTCCTTTGCTGTCTTCCAATCCCAAGTGAAGAGATGGGCAAGTGAAGAACTGAGAGAACAGACACTATCTAGCACAAGTATGTTTTGCCCTAAACTGAATCATAAATACAAATCAGAAGAATGTTTTAGATTTGTTCTTTAAATAAGATTAAAAGGTTGAGTACATACCATTTTGGTCACAAGGACCCTGAACGTTGCTAGGAGGAGATGAGTGACAGAGCTAGGCCTCACGCTCCCTACCTCCGATTACAAGCATACAGATGAGCCCAAGGTGAGGTAAGGAGGCAAGGTGGTGAGGGAAAGAAAATTTTGGAGAAGGAGTTTTTTGGAGCCCCAATTATAGATGGAAGTTATATTCATCCCATACATGTGGCGCTCTGACAGCCTACTCTGTTTTTGACTAGCCCTAGGTCTGGAAAGATGAATCCTTATAATTCCCTACAATAGCTTTCACAGCACGCCCACTGAAAGGTGCATTTTTACAGAGAGAATTGGGCCCAGAATTTGCAGAACAATATTCTGGGGCCATCAATGGGCTGACTATATGGATGAATATAAACATTTTTCTTCTCGTTTACAGATTCCCTTTATTTTTTAATCTAAACATTACTATTAAATGCTGACTCTGCATAGGCGCCCTTCCAGGCACAGAAAATACACTACAGGGAAAAAAAAAAAAAAAAAAAAAGCAAACAAAAAAAAAAAAATCCCTGCTCTGAAACAGTATATATTCTACAAGAAAGAGACAGTCATGTAGCAAGTTTTATGAAAATAGCAGAGGCCAGGGAAGGATGAGAGGCAATGCAGAGGCAGATTTTGTCTTTCTAAGTAGGTTAGTGGGGACAGATTTATTGGGGGTTAATATTTGAATAAATATCTCACAAAGTGAGTGAGAAGTCGTGTGAACACCTAAGAACAATTACACCTGGCAGAAAAAATTTCAAAGTCAAAGACGCTAATGTTACAATGTAATCTCCATAAAAAGGGGAGGTTCTATGTCCTCTACCCCATTGAATGCAATCGTGGTGCTGAGCAGGGAAGCTAGAGAGGACCTGGAAGATTTTAGAAGAGTCACATGGAACAGAGAGACATATGAAAAAGAAGTAGCACTTGCTTCTTAGCTTTGAACTTGCACCAGGACATGGGTGACATGGAAAGAGACACACGGAGTCAAGACATGTAGAGACACTTGAAAGGGACCTGGGGTGAGCGACACATGGGGGGGCTGACAATAGCAGCTGTTATCTTGATTTGCAATTTAAGTTTGCTAATTTCATTCCTGACTCACCTGCCCCTCGCCCCTTTTCTATGGTTCCCTGCCAGAAGATGCTTTTGATTTGTGGCAAGCTTTTGGACCTAAACAACCACATTTTGAGCCAACCGTAGGCATTTACCCAGGAGGGGATGGATAACTTTAGGTATTTTACTGGAAAACTATTATCCTTTCTTCCCTTATCTCCCTCTGCACACTCTTCTATTAAAGCTCTTTCACACTAAGAGAATGCTTTGTCTTCATGCAGAAGATGGCAGAACCCATTTAGAGTGTGCAAGTTTGGGGGTCTTGGGTTGCCCCTCAATCTTCCTGCTAACACCAAGACAGGATATGTTTGCTGCATTTATGAAATGATTGTGTGGCTGGAAGAGAGAAGCAGGAATGAGGCCAGAAAAAAGAATGAAGATCATGTCACAGAGAGCCCTGGAAAGCCCCAGTGTAGAATGGCTCTTCCTCACTATGAGATGGATGGCAGTGGAGGATTTAGGGTTGAACAGGATCTCTATGGAGGCTCTGGAAATGGGTGGAGGTGGTTATATGGGGTTGTGGTTGGCAAGGGTAGAGGTATGGAGGCCATTTTGGGGGCTACTACCAGATGAGAGATGACCTATAATGGTGGCAGTGGAGGTGTTGATTAGTTTATTTACATAACTAGAAATGGAAAATTACTCAAGCAAGTCAGAATTGTGTCTGCAACACTCCATTGGAAAATCCATTCTAAATATAGTCTCTCCATGATGTCATATCAGCAGTATCATCTTTAGCCCTGAATATTATATCAAAATTCACTTTATCTTTGCAGCCTTTGTACTCCAACTGCTTCATTTTGGCTGAAAATGTGTTGTCTTGGATCAAAATTAATAAGACAAATAACTAAATGTATTTCACATAGAACACCTATCCTTTTATTTTGCTTATAGTGCATTTTCCAAATGAGGACCCTTTTAACAGAGAACGATTTTATGGATACTTACATTTAGCTGTATTTTAGCACCCACAGATGAAAATAATACATAATGACAAAAAGCTACAATAAAATCAGTAATGCTTGAAAATGCAATATTTTATAAGTATAACAGCATCTCCACTCAGCTGAAAAGTAATTGCAGGTATATGAACAAAACCAAATACTTATAATTCACAGACCACATGTAGGGTGGATAAGGTTTCACAGACTTCTTGTCATTGTCATGGAAATGGCCTCTGTAGAAAGTGCAGCCTAACTCAGACAGTTTTGCCATACACTGAATTCAACCAGAAGTCATTTAAATATGGAAAACAGTTGTCACCAGGATTAGAAAAGCAAGAAAAGATTTCAGAATAGAAGGAAGTAATAAGTTAACAAAGCTAAGCAAATGGTTTATAGAGTCTGTGGACTGTGAATTTCCCTTGAAAATCAAGGACTGAGCTATTTCACACCCAATCTGGGGAGCTACACTTCCCCTCATTGAGTTGTGGGGCTTAGGTTATGATGACCAAAAAGGGAAGCTCACCTTAAATGCCTCCAGCTTCAGAAAGCATACCCAACCCAAATCTTTGGCTAATTGGCCAACTCCTGGAACCAACAATGTCATTTAAGATTTCATTCCCTAGGTAGGCAAAATCACAATTGTTTCCTCAGAGGGTCAATTCTTCAAGAAGAAGTTTAAGTAAATCATACCTCTTGATATTCATATTTCTCATGTTAGCTTTAGAAAGAACCTCTATATATGAGATATTTTAGGTACTGAGGTGTAAGAGGATTTGACACAGAATGTATTAATGCAGAGGTCTTATGATTTTGATGGAAATCTGTAATTACGGGATTTAGACTTGTGATATTAACTCAAAATTTTAGATCTGCATATCATATTAGCACATATAAAGCATTGGTTTGAAAACCTTAGCATGCATCAGAATCTCCTGAGAGCTTATGAAAACACAGCTTGTTGTTCCTGATCCCCAGTTTCTTATTCAGTAGGTCTGAGAACTTGCATTTCTAACAATTCCCAGGTGATGCTGATACTGCTGGCCCAGAGTCCACACTTTGAAAACCACAGACTTACAGGATCTTAAAATTCACATTATTCACAAGGTGAATTCATTAGATTTATAGGAGTTACCTGAGAACTTGGGAAAGAGTTAAATAAGATAGATTATGTAAAAAAGGAGGTCAGTAATATTAAATTTATAAATGCAACTAAAATATTTAAAGGAGGTTAATGGTCTAAGTTTGGAAATGGTACCAAACATTAATAAAATGACCTACAAAAATTTACCAGTATATACATAAAATGTAAAATTTATAAATTAAAGGAAAAATTCAGGTCTTGAATGAGTAACTTTGTTGAATAGAATATTAATATTTAAAACTAGAGTCATCCTTCAATAATCTCTTTTGTGCACAAAACTCACTCTTGAGGACATAAAAAAAAAATCCAGCATTGATAGAAGTCACTCTACTTCCCAGGGTTTCTAAGCCTGTGGATGGGGAAACCTTTGGCATAAAGGACTACCTCAATGTTCACCCTGCTCCTAAACCATTTGACACCTCTTCAAATGGTCTTACTCCTCTGCTCACAGAGTTGGGACTTGCTTGAAGTCAGTGGACTGAACAAAGAGTCCACATCTTGATCGACTTTGTCTGCCACACGAATGTGTCTCCTGCAAGTGCTCTGGGAACTTTTCTCTCCAGCTCCCCTGCTAACTGTCATTGTCTTCATGCACTGTCAGAGGACACCAGAGAAAGAAGAATGGCATGTCAAGATCAATCTTCCTCCAGAGACACTCCTTGAAATAATGTTGAATAGCAGCACATTTGGAAACCTTTACTTCTGAGACCAATTATCTCCCTGCTACAATGTATTCAGCCTTCACCAGCTTGGCTTCTGGACCCAGCTGTTTTCTGTAAGGCCTGATGTATTTTGAATCACAGATGTGATCATTTAAATTAACTAAAATTTCTATGTTTTTAAAAAGGTAGATTTATTAGCCTTTAGGGAATACTGTTCTTGGTTTAGTTTTCGTATTAGAATTGTGGTCTCTCATTTCCCTTTTAGACCTAAAAGCAATAATATATCATCAATAAAATTATAATGGAAGCACCTACAGCTGCCCTCTCATTCAGGAAGGAAATAAAGCTAGTGAAGGTTCTATATTTCCATAGGTTCCATATTCCATTTATACCCTTCTCATTTGAATGCTAAATGTCAATCAATTATTTGGGAACAGATTCTTAACTATAGGTAACCTTAGAATTAGACATGTTTTCTTTGAGTTACAACGCAAGTCCTTATTTTCTGGGAACTTTAAATTTAAGTGACAATTTATGGAAAGTTCTTGCAGAAAAAAATATCTGCAGTCAATTTCCTTTGATCCTCAAAACACAATAGTCTGAACAACTAGTCTTAGATAAACACTTCATTTTAAAACTGTGATGAGAAAACTGGACAGTCATATGTACATAGAAAGCATTGGTTTAGATCACTTGCACCAAACACAAAAATTATTTCAAAATGTAATAAAGCTTCAGATTTAAGATCTAAAACCATAAATGCATAGAAGAAAACAGGAGATATACTCCTTAATATCAGACTTAGAGATACCTTTAAGGGCTCAATTCAAATGGCAAAGAAATCAAAAGCAAAAATAAAAAGCTAAAAAGCTTTTCTCCACAAAAGGAAGGAGAAAAATTAATGTTTTCATCAAAACAAAAAAATTCCTACTGAATGGGTGAAGGTATTTGCACACCATGTGTCCAACAAGAGCTTAATAGTCAAAATATGAAAAGAACTAATGAAATTCAACAATAGCAACGATAACCAAAAAAAAAGTAAAAAATGGCTAGAAGATCTGAACAGACACTAGTCCAAGGAAGACATACAGATGGCCAAGAGGCACACGAAAAGATGTCCATCATCTCTTTTCCATTAGGAAAATGCAAATCAAAACTACAATGAGCCATCACCTCCCACCAGTGAGAATGCCTATTATCCAAAACTAAGAAGCAACAAGTATTTGAGAGGCTATGTAAAGAAGGAAGTCATTGGTGGGCTTGCGAATTAGTTCAGCCTTTATAGAAAACAATATGCAGATTCCTCAAAAAATCAAAAATAGAAACTATAATTATCCCACTTCTTTTTTTTTAATAAAGATTTATTTATTTATACAAGAACTGGGGTACAGGTCAGAGGCACGCGAGGGTGAGAGAATTCACCAGAGACAGAATGGGGAGCAGAACAGGGAGACAGACTAAAGACACTGCTGAGGGGAACAGCTGGGGAGGCAGGAGAGGTCTGCCACTCCATGTGGGTTGCTCCCTGGCTGGCCAAGAATTAAACGCATGCTGCAGAGGCTGTGGACAGCTTCACAGCACAGCACTCAACCAGCTGCGCCACCAGGGAGGCCCAATCCTACTTCTTTTTTCAGGTATTTACTAGCAAAACATAAAAACCCTAGTTCAAACAGATATATGCACCTTCTTGTTTATTGCAGCATTATTTACAATAGCCAAGAACTGAAAACAACCGAAGTGCTCATTCAAATATGATTAGATAAAGATGTGGTATATCTGCACAGTGAAATAATACACAGCTATAAAACAAACAAACAAAAAAACAAAAAACATGAAATCGGGCCTCCCTGGTGGCACAAGGGGTTAAGACACAACCTATGAAGCTGTTTGCAACCATTGCAGCACAAGTTGGATCCCCTGGACAGCCAGGGAGCAATCCACATGGTGCAACAGACCTCTCCTGACTCACCCACTGCTCCCCTTAGCAGTGTATTTCAGTCATTCTGCCTGTTCTTCTCCCCATTCTGTCTCTAGTGAATCCTCTCACTCCCCACACCTCTGGCCTGTACCCAGCTCTTGTATGCATAAATAAATAAATCTTAAAAAAAAAAAAAGCACCATGAAATCTTGCCATTGCAACGTGGATGACCTAGAGGATATTATGTTCAGTGAAATAAGTGAGACAGATACAGAAAGACAAGTGCTATATGATTTTACTTATATATAGTGTATAGAAAAACCTAACAAATGGATGAAATTTTTAAAAATGATCTGCTAGATTATGAGACCAATTAGTATTTGCCAGAAAGGGAGGAAAGGTAAATTGGGTAATAGGTGTTAATTGTGGAGTAAAGGCTAGAATTGGACTTTAGTGGTAAACAATATAGTATATACAGATGCTGATGTTTAATGGTGCATGCCTGAAAAATAAAATGTTGTAATGCAAGATGACTTCAATAAAATAATTTTTAAATTAAGTTTTTATGTGTGATTAGAGGATACATTGGCTAGAAAAACAGATGCTTCAAATTCTGGCTTTGCTGTGCGTAAGCCTGCTTTTTCATTTTAAAAAAAAGAAAATAATAGCTACTTCATTTAGTGTCTGGCATGCCCAATAAGTGTTCACTATGATTCTTTATAACCTAAATGCCTAGCAACCAGAAACTGGTTAATCCCTTTGTATGTCATTTCTAATTTATAAATTTTGATAATATTACTTAATTTTACAAAACATAGGTTGTAATAACCAAGTATTAAATGTACCTAGATAAAAGAAAAACCCACCAAACTATTTGTACATTGTCGTGCAACTATGGCACCTTAAAAATGATTTGTTCTATCTTTTTATATTTTAGGGATATTTTTATTTAGTCAGTAGAGACAATATGAACAAATGCAATAAATAGCCACTTTAAAATTGTGACTGAATTGCACTGGCATATTAAATTATTATAAATCACTAATTACTATTGTTATGGTACACAACAATTTTATCTTACACCCCCTCACAAATCATAATCACAAGCAAACAACTGCATTCTGAGCATGTTACATAGAGACAGGGAAGATGTCTGCAAAATTAAAGAAAAAAAACCCTGCATCTAAACCATTGTTTATCTTCAAGATATTGTTTAATCAATCTTTATAATAGACCAGGTAGTTATCTATCTTTTCATTTTACAAGTGAAAAAGAGTTCTGGAACTGGCATACACAGCTTCTTGTTTCTGGAACTGTTACAGATGCTGGTAACCACATGGATGATGCCAATTGGTCACTCTATTCATCAGCCCTAGATGAGCCCTCATTGATCTAGCTGGTGCCTAGGGATCAGTTCCCAGCCTGCTTGGTGAGCAACCCCACCTACAAAATGGGAATGCAGACATATGCCCCCAAGCCTCACAGGCTCATGGGAGAATCAGGCAACACAATGCAGGTGAAATTTTTTAAAATATGTAAATTTATGTTCTTTTCTTTTCTTCTTTTTAAAGAAGTTGAAAATTACCAGCACTAATTAAGAATAACCATGTGCTTCATGCTGTTTGAGAGGCAATTGCCATTTAGTAGATGTTGCAAAATATTGGTTCCCTTTCTTTACTCCCTTGAAAGTAAAAATATTAATAAAATTGTGGATCTATAGAATTTTGGCTTTCTCGGAAACCTTAATCATCATTTATTTGACCTCTCCACAACATCTCTGATAATATGTTATTCAGTCTCTGAACATTTCAGTTGAAAGAGAAACACTACCTCATGGGGACTCTCTGCTCTTGCCCTGTATGTGGAGAGTGTCCTTCTGTTTACAAGTCTAACTATATCAATCAGCTCCAAAGAAAAGAGAAAGAAAAGTGCCAACTTCCCTCCCCCCCCTTATCTTAAGAGGGTTATAATCAAATACTGTTTAGAAATTTATTCTCTTTGTATTTTCCTTTTCAACATTCTACTGTGCCTGAGTTGCTCATTGAATGTCTAATTAGCAAGTTTCATCTTTGCTAGGGTTCCATTGAGCATCGTTACTCCACAGGCAAGAATTCTCCTTTTTAAATTTTCATGACATCAACATAATTCATAAAACAGAGTGGAAAATATTAGCTTCTTGGGGTCAGTGCATTATGGGTAGCAATTTGCAGATATCTTACCTTGAACTTCAGAACTGGATCTATAATGAGCAAACCCCTGCAAGTAAGGATGGTGGCAAATCCTTTCTGGAACACTCTGTTTACGCAGGGGTAAGAAAAAAAGTTTAAGCCTTGAAAGCACAACCTCCACCTTGTTTAGCAGGAAAACTTCTCTTGCTGATGCTAATTTAGACACAGAAATATGTTGAAATCTAAATATGGAAAATGTGCCATTTTGCCCATCTTTACTTAGTTCAGTCATTCCAAGCACTGTGCTTGCTTTTCGGCCTTTGATGAAGAGCAGGGGAGCAAAGACGACATGCTATGTGGCTCCAATGGCATCTGCTCCTAGTATTCCATCTCACACAACAATGAATGTAAGACAGTTCTGAAAAATCTATCTTCCCACCCACCAAGGCACAAGTCTGCAAAAGTAGGTGTTCACATATAGGTTCATGTTTTATTTATAATAATAACGAAACGCTTTTGTGAAGAAAAATTGCATATGATTAATCTAGAGAAAGGAAACCGGATCAGACAAAGACAAACTGCAAGACTGACCCTTGAAAGCAGACAGCTCTCAGGAGGGGACGGGAATGAGGGAGAGAGAGCAGAGAACAGGCTGGAGGAGGTCTTGGTGGAGGGCAGTGGAGGACTATGGGCACTTTGGTGGTGGGAAAACTCTGGTGTGGGGAGAAATGCTATATTGTGAAAAAATAAACAAGAAAGTTTAAAAACAAAAATAATAAGATTTGCAAAAAAAATTTTAATTACACTCAAAATGTTCTTTGGCAATTGCAATGGCATTAGACTCCCTCAGCTGGTCTCATTTACTCAGGCCTCTGGGTACTCATAGTAGGAGGCATCCGGCCTAGGGGGAACTTCTCTTTCTCTTCATTGACCCAGAGAGTTAAGAGGGTTCTGCTGTTTGGAAGGAGCATTCTTTCCCAGAATGACAGGATTGAAGAGGATATTTCCCAAAGAAATTTTGGTCACCCATAGATACGGCTGCATCACAGTGAAGCTTGTTTTAGTCAGAGGTCACCTAGACAGCCTCCCCTAATATCTCAAGCACCTCCACCCTCACAACTCTCCCTGAGAGTTTTCAGGAGCATTTTACTCACCAACATATACGAACTTTCCTGCACCAAGTTCTTTGGTAAGTAAAAATACTGGGTTATAAAGCTATTTCCTTGTTCTCCGCAGCCAGATGAAACCTGTCACTGTGCAAAAATAAATGTTGATACTGTGCCCTGAATAAGGATGAGAGCCTGCATGCAGTCTGTGATGCTGACAGCCTGGCTGGCTACCTCTGCCTCCTCCCCTCTTGCACAAAGAAGTGAACAAAGAGGGAGGCTGGACATGGCCAAGGCCAGGTATGGTCGTGGTTATCGTGAATTCATCGCTTAATTTTACTTAGACATGATTATATAAGTATTCAATGAATGTCATAAAATTTTCTTTTCCTTTTTAAGTTTCATAGCATCCTCCAACATTAAAAAAAAAAAAAAAAACTGTGACACCGTGGGTTTAAAATCTAGCCTACATTATCTTTAATAACAAACCAGCTTCAAAATATCAAGCAGCCAAGAATGTTGAGACAAACAGAGACCATGGAGGATAAAAGTGTTTCTAACTTTAAAATGATTCCCTCTGTTCTATGGACCTGGAAGAAACTGACTTAAACAAGCTTAAAGTTTTAGGTAAGTGCAACTTTCCCATATGATCTTTTCTCATCTTTTCAGAATCTAATCTACAGAGATAAAACAGATTAGCCCAATATAGAAGTTTGGGGTATAGTTATGATAATTCTCCACTTCGTGGAAAGAAATGAGCCCAAGTAGACAGTAAAGCAGGTAATGAACAGAAATGGCAGATGGAGGTGATAATTGTGACTCATCTTGAAACCAAAGCAGTCAGAGGAAGGCACTGACACCCCAGCCCACGCTGACAAATGTATCAGATGCAGGAGCTGTGGACAGGAAGCCAGGAATACATCCCAAAGGTGTGAGCAGGAGGCTGGGCTCCTTTCTTGAGCGATGACAAAGGGGTGACTCAAAGGTCGGGAGAGCTGTCCTGTGAGCAGTAGGGAGATCTAGGGAGGGTCAAAGTGCTTACCCAGCTCAGCAGAGCTCCCATGCTGTTTTCTGCACTCGGCTTCTTCATTCTCTGGGCAGCTAATCATCATGGACATGGAGAGCTGGATGCCACGACCCTGCCAAAGCCAGGATGGTAAGTGGAGATGGCCAAGGTGTAGAACAAAGGAGAACAGTCACAGGGACAGAGTAGGGTGGCACCGAAGGGTGAAGTCACTCTGTCCTCACAGGAACAAAGTGACACTAGCAGCCCAGATTGTAAAATTCCTGCTTGAAGATGATACAGTGAAACAAGACAGGTGTCTCTTCCTGCCCCATCAGATAAGCATTCCTATCTATTGCATTTAACAAGTTTGTCTTCTTGCATTCTAAGGAAAAGGAAGGGTATGCCTAAGAGGATAATAAGAAAGTTAAACATCTAAGGAAGTTAAACATCAAGTGTGAACAACGCAAGCTGGTGCAAACCTGAAATCTCTGGTTGTCCGCATCAAAAGGACATGTTGACCCTTGTCCATCTCCCTTTTGTTTGACTCCTTTGTATAAATACCCCTGCTCTCTGTCAAAGAGCAGAATGGTGGTCTTTCAGAAACAAGTCTGCTGCCCTCCTCAGTTTATCGACAAATTAAACTACTTTCCTTCTCCTCAAACTCTGTTTCCTTTTATTGGCTGAGGGAAACTGAGGCAGGTGTTCGGTGTCAAAGAAACCCCTTAGTGAGTGCTCCTGGAATCTGATAGTCTCTTGGTGTCTCTTTGCCTATCACTCACTTGGTTTTTTCTAATGAGGAGTAGAGTATGATCACTAGTAACAGGAATGAGGGACCCTCTGTCTCATCATTCCCTCCTTCGTCCTGAGAAAAGTTCTTAGGTTTCCTATAACACTATTTGTAGGCCAAAATATTTTGAGTCCCACAGAACTGCTCCTCACCACCGTGCATTTCTATCACCTGGAGTTGGGGGTGGGGCATGAGCCTGGAGGGGTCCCTTGTCTCTAGGAGTCTCAATTTCCTCATGTATTAAGTCAGGGAAATGAGCTTAAACGTTTACTGCTCAATCTCCTATATTTTCTTTCTTTAGGGGAAATAGTCACTGATGTTGTTTTGGTTTGCTATTGTATTGTTGGTTTTATTGGGTTTTTTTTTTTTTGTTTGTTTTAAGATTTATTTATTTATACAAGAACCAGGGTACAGGCCAGATTCGCAGGAGGGTGAGAGGATTCACCAGAGACAGAGCAGGGAATAGAACAGGCAGAGTGAAGAGATACACTGCTGAGGGGAGCAGTGGGAGAGACAGGAGAGGTCTGCTGCACCATGTGGGATTCTCGCCAGCCCGACGGGATCAAACCCGCACTGCAGAGGCTGCAGACAGCTTCATAGCGCAGCGCTCAACCACCTGCACCACCAGGGAGGCCCAGTTTTATTGGCTTGATTTTTTTTTTCACAACTCATTGATTGAATATATAACTTTTTAGAATAGTTTGTTGTAAAGGCAGGAACAGGACACAGTGCAGGTTCTCTGATCCCATGCAGACCGGATAAAGGAGGAGTCAGAGTCCTCAGTGGTTTTTTGCAGGTTTTTATTGGGTTCAGCGGATACATGGCAGTCAGGGGTGCTGGGGGGCCAGGAGGCTGGCAGTCCTCCCAGCCCCCAGCAAATCTTCACTCTATCTGGGCTCTCTGGCGTTCTCTGCTTCTGCTTCGGGCTTCTTCTCTTTCGGCTTAAGCTTCTCGGCTTCTTGGCTTCTCTTCAGCTTCTTTCTCAGCTTCTGCTGGCGTCCCGGTGACTCCACCCTTAAAAGCCCAGTCTCAGCCCAGGTGAATCCCATCTACCTATGCCCACACTCTATTCCAGGTGCCCGCCATCAGGCATGCATTCAGGACCGCAAGGATCCATCATCTATCCTGATGGCGGGAGGGCAGAAAAGCCTGACATTTTCCTTACCCTACATTTGTACTTATGAAACACTTTCCATCTTTCCATTTTATTCATGGATTTTGAACTACAAGACTAATATCCTTCCACCCCAACCCCACTGAGTGGTAGTTTGTCCAATGCCTCCTGAATTGGAAAAAATGAACAAACACACACACACTTTGCATATTCTTATCCACATTAGGATAGTATACTATAAATGTCAAGATCTGATGTTCAGAGTAACTAAGGGTCAACCTTAGTTGGAATCCACAGATTCCACAAAAATCAAACTTCCAGTCACAGATGTCACCCCCAGTTGCTCGATATTCATAACAAAGGTATTAAAGTTGGTATTGGGGATGTAACCAGATGAAGACTTCTGTTAATATTCTGATGTAATAGCCAATGCGATCATGGTAAGACCGTATATGCTGGTGTAGTATGATGGCATCGTTTCTTTAAGGACTATATAATAACAATATTAACATACATTAGATCAAATAAATTACCGTTTCTGCTAAGATTATCTCAAGTGACAAGAAAAAGTTCATGAAAAATATAACTGATAGTAAATATACATTTTCTTAGTGTTTCATGAAGTGTTCTTCTCCTATATGTAAATCTATGTTTGTGTGAATGTCTTACTTTTCTTCCATTTGCTCTATCTCATCATTTCTCTGTGTGGGCCCGAGGCCATATCCACCATCTTCTTAATTATTGGGGCCCATTTGTGACCATAATCCACCTGCCCACAATTAGGAAATTATGCGATCAGTTCATAAGATTAGATCTGGTTTTCAGAGTTTTCTCTTTGTCATTTTGAGCTTTTCCTTTATTTCAAACTCAGCAATGTATTAATATGTGGGAGGTGGAATTATATTTTATCTATTATTTAGATGGTTTGGTAGTAGGAGGTAGACTATAATAACATGTTTTTTCAAGTTGCTTGAACCAGAAAGTCCTAAATAAGACTTCTAGGGGAAAAAATTAAAAATATCTGAAAGAGACTTCAGAAAGAATAATAGTGAGTCCCAAGCAGACAAACAAATCTTCACCTATACACATCGTCATGAAACTACTGAAACGAAAGTGGGGAAAATGTTACAAGTACCTCAATAGGTGATTTGTGCAACATATTAGACCAGAAATAATGGCAGTTATTGTCAAATACAGGGAAAAGTCATTATTGATAGTAGAATAATTAGACAATAAATTTATCATCATAAAAAACAGAGGCCAAAAACAGAATATCTTCAATTTGAAAAGGAAAATTAACTGGCAAAAATTTCATACCCAACAAAATTAAATGTAAGAATGAGAGCAACATAAAGACATTGCTGGTAAACAAAATTTGAGAACTTATTACTGACAGACTTACCCAAAGAAATACTAAGGAATATTTTTTAAGAAATATTGATAATGTTAGCAATATTGATATTCTTCAAGAAAAGAGAGTAACTTATAAAGATGGATTGGGGGGTGATTCAAGAAATGACAGTGAGTAAGAAAATGGCAAACAGGTAAATCTGATTAACAAGATCCTAAGTAAAACTTTTCCAGGAATATCATTATTTCAGCTAAAGAACAAAACTACTAAAAAGGTGCTTAGCATCTACCTACATTACAATGAAGTCACCAGTTTGGGAGACACCTTCTCCTCAGACAGGTGACCACACACCACCTGCAACCACCCATTCTTATCTTTACCTCAAGTCTCATTAAAATAAAATTGGAAAGAAGAAAAGGATTTCTATCAGCCATGTGGAGCACACAGTGTATGAGGAGAGACCATTTTTCTCCCTTTCATTTTGGAAAAAGAAAGAGAATGCTTCTTCCTCCTTCTCTCCCTCCCCACAAATCAAGGGAATAAGATTTCCAACAAGTTTCTCACAAAGATTGATAGCTGAGACAGGAATGGGAAATTAGAATGTGATTCATCACGGCTTTGCGTTGGCTGGTTGTGAATTGTCCCAGTACTGCCTGAGAAGAGAAAAGGAGACGTGAAGAGAGAGTCACTGATTTTGTAGATAGAAGGGAACCAGGAACAGCCATTAATTATTTATTCCCTGGAGTTACAGAGCGGCAGCAATTCCCAAATCTGGCCATACCGGGGAACTGAATGAGGAGAGAATGAGAGACACAGGCCGTCCTCACTGAAAGCACAAGACATGAATTAATACGGCATTTATGGTGAATAAAGAAAGACCCTCATCATCAGATAACTATGCAGAGCATCTAGTGCACTTCACGGAATTTTTTTTTTCCACCTTTATAGCGCAAGTACAAATTATAACAGAGAGAGTAGAATGTCATATCATTCCTCTCTCTACTTAATCTGTTAGGGCTTCAGACCGTGCCATAGTGCTACAGAAGGCTCAAGTAACTCAGAAAAAAAAAAATGTTTGCTATCAAAGGTTTATTTAAAAATGAGTAGAAATGCTATCATTCTAATATCCATATTTAGGTGGATATTTGTGGAATTTGATAAATACATTAACATAAACAAAGAGTACACAATTCATAACAATAAAATAAGCCCTGCAGTATGGGGCTAGGGGTTGGGATTTTAATATCAGGACAGAGATGTGAGACTGAGCCTTGGATCCATATTGAGTGAAGAACATAAAGAAGGGTGACTTCCTCACTTCTATGCAAACTTACCTTACTTGCCCAGGATGCAGATTTTAGTATTCATTTCCCATCACCATCACCCCTACTGTCCTGATTACAGTGTCTACCAACTGGATCTCAGGGCACGTCGCATGGAAGCTGTGTAACTGGCTGTTGGTCCCAGTTACTCCTCAGACTAACAAACCTATTCCTCCTTGTCCACACCTGACAGAATGGTCCAAATCTTCTGCAACTTATTGGTTCCATCATCCTCTGTGAGAACAATCTCTCGGTATTCTATCCACATGACCCTTTACACATCCTGGTCTTCCTCATTTTAAAGAGTTTAGTATGGGGAATGAGATGCTGGAAGAAGGTCAATTTTCCTTTCTAAATATCCTGTTAAGCTGCAGACAGGTGAGCAAGTATCAAGAGTCTTAAGTGAGGAAAAACGAGCTAGTTGGAGGGGAAATGTGAATCAAGGGCAAAACAGTGGAAAAGAGTCCATCAGAGCACCTCTGGTGGAGGTAATGGAAAGCCCTGGATTCCACGCAAACACTATATATATGAAAAAAAAAACTGTGCGTGGACAAATGAGAAAACAGGCACAGAAGTCTCAAGTACAAATAATTACCCCACTATCTTATCATCTTGCTTCTCCAGCTCCCACTAACTTAACTTTTTTTCTCACACATATTTAATCAAAGAGACACAGAAAATGAAACCAGTATGAATCAAATTCATCATAATCAGTCAATCTTGGCTTCAAAGATGTAAATAAATTGACTGTATCACTCACCCCACACACACTCACAAAAGAAAATCTGGCAGAGAATAAAAGGGATTCGGCAGCTCCTATCAGGGCTTGCTACAA